TCTCGAACAGTAGGTGCGATACCTGTTCTTTTCTTTCTTTCGATCATTTTGTTTTCTTTTTCCGAGTGGTTTGTATCCTATTTTTGTTTTTTGTTTTCTCGCGGCGTCGTATGTGCCGGGTTTTGAGACCACGGGCTCCCCATTTTTTGTGGACTATAGAGCTAATGTGAGAAACAACAACAACAACACGGGGATCAAGCCCCGGACGGAAAGCATGGGCGTCCTCAACGACGTTCTCCGATACACTTACTCTGGACGCGGAGGACCACGTGACGAACACTATGATACTACCATACATGTGTAGACTGCCGTCATCCGTTGGAAGATGCATGTGCCGAACGAGATCGACTCCTTTGACTACTGTGCTCATGGACCCAGATCAACAACGTTTCCTGAGCTTGGCTACTCAATGTACTGTACAGTAAATGCCTTACATAGTCTATAGTAGCAGATATTCTCCCCAACGCCGAATGTCCGCAAGCCTTACCACTGTGCTTTGTCCCTTGTCCTCCAGCGACAAAATAGGAAAAAGGGCGGCGAATACAAACCGCAGAGTCGTCAACAACAGCAGGACCTCCGCTTAGATACGAACGGTAGAGACAACAGCCGAGATCCATTCCAGCATGATTCCTCCGCGCTCCTGGGTAGAGATGGCCGGCAGTGGACAGAGGTGTACAGCAGAAGCTGGGTACCGCTGTCGCGGGCCCCATTTGTGATCATGTATGACACCCGTTTCCGTCATCAATGCGCCAGGTGGCAATATCGGAGCGAGAAACAGGATAGAGGGCGGTGCACACGTGTTGGCGCCTGTGGAAAAATTACCATATTTATATTATGCACACATCATAAATCCTGGAATCGCATCCGGAAGCAGTCTCTCCGCGCAGAGTTTTGGGTTATTCTGCTACAACTCTCGCTGTAGTGCTGATCCCAAATCGTGCACATCATCTATGGATTGCCCACACATAGGCGATACTCACACCCCTATTTCCTGTCAATTTTGGTTCACCCCATCGGGTAACCCAACTGCATTTAGGTCCGTTGCAATGTTCCAGGATTTCGAATACAGGCTGTTTTTGCTTTTTTCTGTTGCACTGCTGTTCAACCCGCGACGGCGCCGTCACACGGCCAGCCATCGCTCCATTGACTACAGCAGAGGTGCGTGAGTGACTTGTTAGGGTTCTGTGCACAAGGTCCGATCGAATCACCTCACGCATGAGTATCGTAGTTATTAGTCAAGAGGTATTATCGGCAATTCCCCGAAATTCATGACGATCGCTTGCACATTACTGTGCGCGCCACACGCCAAGCCGCAACAGCGAACGCCTGGTCTGTTGATGTTAGCAATCGCGATGCCGTCGAGAGTGTGCACACGAGGTCTGGCTGTCCTATGGGTTAGTCGGCGTTTCTTTCACAGCAAATGCAACAGCGGTCCGTCGTGAGCCTGCTGCCTAGAGCATTCCAACAGCAGTTGTACAAAATATCAATTTGAATTTCGAGCACACTTGTTCACACACCGTTACCGCTGCGCTCCTCACGCCACACACACTTGCTTGTGCAATCGGCAGTTGCGACGGCAACTTGCGTATGCAATGTG